TTGATCTTCTTGAGTGTATTTTTCTTTTCTTTTCTTTTTTTCCTTTTTTCACTATGAATGTGTTGCACATGTGCTTTGTGGAGTTGATAATTGGCGGCCGCTTGTTGTCTAATTATAGTTTATCTAATTATCCATTCATGAAGGAGATTCCAAGAAAAATTTCTTATTATGAGCATGACGGCCTTGTGCAGGTCACACAATTCGTCAGCTGGAATGATCCCGTCCATAGTGAACTGAGTTTAGACTAGAAAGTGTTGAATTCTGCGTGTGTTGAATTCTGCGAGTAAAGTATGACGGCCATGACTATAGGCAAATGCTTTTAAGGCTAGCTGCTCGATGGTCTCCTGGCTGTTTGCTACTCGATCTTCTTAAAAAATTTCTATCAATACCAAATTAGTAGCACTCCTTAAAAAAATTACTAGCTCGTTGGAAAATTACCATCACATAGTACTACCCTGTGCTCATTAACATGAGATTGTACAACAATCCACCACCTTGTAGGCGTTAAGGATGTTAATTGGATCCCGTGGCCATGCCAATCAAAGTGAAGATATTTTGTGTCCATGATGAGGGCAGAATTCATGACTGCTGTTTTGTCCGAGGCTTGCATAGATGAATAATTGCGTATCGTACAAAGACAAACGAAACAAGGCGACAAAAAATCACAACTTTATCGACACATCACAACTTGGAATCATGAAGTTTCATTCAAAGACTTATATGGTCGCGAATTGGTTTTTTGCCTATAGACCTTCTCAAATAATTGGTCTTTTGCTAAAAGACCTTTTGATCAACCCTTGGGTCTTCGGACAAAAAGGAATTGAATTGTGATACTTATGTCGGAGTCAAGGTATTCGTAGTGGCAATTTATTTTTACAGAATGCTACTCTTTAAGAGCCACGTAATTATCTGCTTTACCAGCAACTTTCGTGAAATATTGAGTAGTATGTTTCGAAGATGATGAATTAATTGAGAAATTTATTAAAGTTGTGCCATGTTTGAAATTTTTGTGGAAATCTCTAAGAAAAAGCTTGGGTAAAGGTCAAAGGTCAGATTGACTAACTGTGGAGAGGGAGGAGCTAAGCAATAGGTAGGACCGTGAGGTTTACATTTTACCTCTATTATTAGCTTGAAATCATTCATAATTGAAGATTTTTTTATTCATGCTTGACAATTTTAATTAGTGATTTAATTTTTTGGGATGTGTTGGTAATTTTTTATTATTATTTTTGCGATAGATGATTTGAAAGTCCTGATTGATCATTTTTTTATTGATAATTCAGGGAATACAGACGTGCAGACCCAACGGCTACTTAGAGGTTTATGAACACCCCGCAAGTGTCACGGACTTATCAAGTTAAGGCATTTCGCCTATGCAGATGGCTTTAACTCAGAGCAGTTTGTATGTGCTTAGTGGGATTTGAATTAATGACTTCTAATTCCTAAATTGGAAAGTCTCTGACCACTCACAATCATAGTAGAAAAACTCAAGCACTACACCCTGGTGTATTACAAATCCTCTAGAAAAATCTTTTCGTAAAACTTGTGTGTAAAGTTTAGAGATAATGTAACCGCTAGTACCATAAATAACAAAAAAAATTTATTACAAAAATATATATCGCAAAAATTACAAAAATAAGCATAAACCAAAAAAAAAAAAAGGGGAAGGGATCGACTCAAATAAGAAAAGGCCGGTTCAACCTGGCCCTTTCGCACAACTCGGCCCGGTTCAGTTCGGCCTTTTTTTTTGGGGCGGTTCATCTCGCAAGCCACCCACATTCTTTTACTTGGCCCACCTGATATATTCATTTTCCAGCCCATTTCTTTTTCTTTTCCTTCACGGCCCATTACACTGACGTGGCCCAGCCTCACTTCTGTTCTTCTTCTTCTTCTTCAAGCATAAGCTCACGTTTGTGAGCAGAGTGACCGGGTGGAGCGAAGCGCGAGAGAGATACGGTGAGGTGATGGAAGCAAGTTCAGGGGATGTTGCAGTAGAAGGGGCTGAGCTGGAGTTTGTTAGAGGACAGGATCGGAGGATAACCAACGTGGTGGGGGAATAACAGGAAATTCTCTTGCAGTTCATCCACTGAGAAAGAGGAATCATAGCCGGACGTCCCTTGCCGTCGCCGATTGAATCTCCGTTTCTTTCCAGGCGAGCTCCTAAAATATGCTTTTGTTCTGTCCTGTTTTTTTAGCCGTTCATTGAGTTTGAGAGTATTGGAATGAATTGATGAGATTGTGGACAAATCCTGTGATATTAAATCTGAGCCGTAGAATATAATGACGATTTGGAGTGTGATGTATCAACGTTGAGTCGAGAATTGCACTGAAACCGAGTCTAGAATTCATGTTTTTAATCGTACGTCAACTGTTCGCTAAAATGCTTGAATGAGATGTTGGAGGCTTAGAACACCGAATTCGATTGTGAAAATTTTGAGTGAGTTTCGATGAACTGAGATGGAGTTGATGTGAAATATGTTGATTCAGGTCTTTATGCATCACAATTGAGTCGAGAATCGCATTGAATCTCATGTTGGAATGTACTTCTTAAGCTGCATGCTAGCTGTTTGATGAAATGCGTGAATGAGTGTTGAATCAATCCATGAATGAAAACGTCTGTTTGAATCACAGTTCATGCTTGATTTGTTCTAAAATGATTATTCGCTCACTGCTCTACGTTTCTTTGTGATTTTTGTGGCATATTAATGTTTCTCCGAGTCGGCCACGGTTGAAATTTTCGCCGGATTCATTCCCCTCGCCGGAGATGTGCCCGTAGTTTGAGGCCACTACTGATCATATGTTGCGAATTGATGCTTCATCCTTTGATGGCCTAGAGTTCTCTTTCCTCTGGTGCTTCCGTTTACTTTGTTCTCAGTGAATTGAATACTGCTTTGGGAGCGTGGCTGAATTGTCCTCTAAACTGAGAGCCTCATGATTTATTTTTGAGCTTGAGGTGTTCCAATTGCACGTATTATAATCGTCTAGTTGTAAATGTAGAGAAATCCATGATTATTGCAAACGCAATGTCCACGGTTTGACAACCAAACCCAACGAAGAAACAGCAGTGAACAACTAATTAGGATCGACAAACAGGGGTTCAGACATGCGTACATACTCTACCAATCAGTTTCGTGATTAGAAAAGATACCTTTGGGCTACAACTGAGTTAAACACGATAAGAGTAAACTGACGAATTTAGAAGACTCTAGGGATAACGGTGGACGACGGAAGCGCTGCTTGTTCTGGCCTGAGTCTCCTCCACTTCTGATGTGCAAGATTGAGTGAATGGATACGAAAGCGTGAATGTGAGTGATTGTGCACCTCCACCGATTGTCCCACTCCCTTCCGTCTTTCTTCTTATTTTCCTCATCCCGCGACCTTCCCACATCCTACTTGTCCTTTTCCACACTCTGCTGAGCCAAATCTATTTTCTTTCCTATCGTTTACCATTTCCTCTTTCGGTCCTTCTTTACGATGCTGATTGGCATTCTCCTTATACAAAACCGACAAAAGTGTTGCTTGTGTCACGGCACCATTTGAGTTCCCGTGAAGAATGAATGGGTGGAGGGAGATCTGCAGACGAGGAATTTTGGTGTAAAACTAGGTGAGGAGATCCTCATTTGTCTGGCGATGCTCCAGGTATTTTAAGAAAACGTGAGGGCCTTGTTCCTTTTGCTTTCTGCCCGAGATCTCCAGCTCCCTCCTCCTAATTTCAGTCAAAACCTTATTCAAATTTTCCCCTACACGAAGTTTAATCCTTTCCTTTGTCAATTTCAGCATCCCCATTATCTCATATGCCTTGATACCTGCTTTGCTTGAAATGGTCCGAGGTGGCAAGAAATGGAGTCATATTTGGCATGATTGAATGACATTTCGGTCAAAGAAATAGAGGGAACAGAAAGTGCTTGAATTTGGAGAGAGAGAGAGAAGGGGACCCAGCTTGTGGGCTTGACTTTAAATGACAGAATCGGCCTAGACTTCGCGTTAATGTAGGTCCATCTATCGGGTCGATTTGGAAAGGAGTTCATAATCGGACTCGTGCTTATGCAAATGCATTATGTCTAAACCTAAATGTTTAAAATGTCTAAATGCAACAAAAAATATAAAATTTATGATCATTCAATGTTGATATTTTTATTTCAAGATCAAATTATATCGTTATCAACGATATTCAATCTCTAATTTTCTTAGGAGATGATGACTAATCTATGAGCCAAAATTTGAGTATTGTCACAACATGTCTTGGAAATGAAAATGGTACTTTAACTTTGTGAGCTATTTGACAAAATTTATCAAATCATTTGAAGCAATTGAAGAGCCAGATTACAGAAAACTAGATCTAAGGCCTTTTTCTCTCTCTTTGACAGCTCGATGATATTCTAACTGGAACTCATTGCAATTGAGAGACTTTTACATCAGCATGATCAATACTACTGTTAAGGTAAAAATATACAGGTTATAGAATGGATAAAATTTGTAAATGTTTTTCTTAGTTTCCACCAAAGTAAATCGGCTAGAAATGAAATTCAAAAAGTACCAGATTAGATGAATTCATTTTTCAATGAGTCTTACTCTTCTTGTCCAAGATAGTCAAACTCTGAGAATAGAACAAAATCTATGACTAGATAACACTGTATATATAGTGTAGAAATTTTCTACAAGAATACAATGACTACTGCATGTCATATTGAGTTAATAAAAAATATTCATTATCAAGTCATAAAGGCAGTAAAGTAATATCTATGTATATCTATATGTTGTGAACTCAAGTTAAATAATAGACAACTTAAATAACTTAAGTAATGATAATTTGAGAAGGATATTACTTGTCAATCCACGTGATGATAGCACTTCGAATTGTCAAGAGCTGCGGACCTAACCTTGTAAATAAGTGTCTGCTAAAAGAAGATTAGATGAACTAATCATTGCGGCATGGACATCCATAATGTTCCAAAAGATGTAGTCAATATGGACACCATGTAAAATTTGAGAAAAATATATGAAGCTATGATAGCCATCACAATGCTCATTCAAGAATCCAGAAGGCAAATGTTTTGACAAAGCCAAAACAAAATCCGATTCTGCTATTGTCAAACAAACAGTCACTATTATCTATATTTAACCAGCAAATGAACCAATTCTACCATCCTGCGTATTCTCAAAACAACTTTCAAGATGTCACTATATTCCTACTAGGAGTTGTCCACATAAAAAGGATCATGCTCAAGAAGAGTAAAGATAAACTTAAATATTAATGCCACTGTCAATCAGAGACTGAACTACTGCTCTGATTTTTCCTTCAAGCTTGTCCCTCTCCCTTGGAGTATATGAAGCAGTTTATGCATCAGCTTCCCTCGCCCCAGTCTGCTAAAATCCGGCCTACGGCCAAACATGCCAATGTCCGACCGAGACTCGACTTGGGTCTGATTTCCTTAGAATTGGTACCCACAACAGTGACTTGCTTGGGAGCGAGTGAAGCCAAGACGAAGTGCTTGGAGATGAAAACATCTAATGTGAACGGCTCCATGCAGGCTGTGGTACGCTGCTTGAAGGAGACGTGCTTATTTGGATTTTTGGACTTCCTCCCCCTTTGGTCAGTGTATGGCCATTGGTGTCATCATCCATAGAGTCCAACTCCAAAGAAACGTCTTGGTGCTAAATAAGGCTGCCTAAAAGCCAACACTCATTCAAAATCCCTATACAATTCGATAAAGGATAGAGCACCCCCACATCCATTATTATTTGTTCAACCATTATGCTACACCAGTAACATTATCAACGAAATGACAGAAAGAGGACATCCCAAACTAGAAAAAGAATGAGATATTCAATGAAGCACCTGCCCATTGTGAATACCACATGTCGGCACAAAGATGCCATGTCAAGAGGCATCAACACCATGTTGCAAAAAGCTTGCTTCAACATCTTACTACAGGAGACATTTTTTAGCAAGGAAAAGCAACCACTTTAATCGGAGCGAGCATGACACCTCAACGAAACAAACATCGTCAGTAAGACATGTCTAACTACTGACACTCCTCAAGATTAACCAGAGCAGTGGGCAAGCACATAGCCTTATATAACAAAACCTCACAATCTTCAAAGCTACACCGACAGAGGTTATGCTAAGCAATTCATCAAACAGCTAGTATGCATTTATGAGTAAGCGCTCAAAAAGCCCCTATTTTTTGAATCAATGTTACGATTCCTTTAAAACTCAATCGAACATTTTTCATGAAAAACATATTTCATATGAGCCAATATAGAACTCAAGTTTCTTACATTTGACATCGGGTTGGACAAACATGATTAGGCACACAGATTTACCTAACTTGCTGAGTACGGAGTATATTGTTTCATGTCAATAAGGTTTGGATGGTGGTATTAAGGTCGCCTTCCCAACGCCCTTCGTCATCCTTGTCGGAGAGGAGTACTTTATCTAGGTTTGGTGTCTTCAAGGTACCCTTGCAAAATGTATTGATCTTAGGGCACTGCGTGACCACAATACGCTCCAATAATGGGAACCTGAAGGCGCAATTCGAGGGGGAGAAGCTCTCAAGGCTTGGTAAACCGTCAAGTATCAACTCTTCCAGCCTGGGGAAAGAGATCTCCTCTGCTCCATTTCCATCATCTGTTACCACGTCTTCCATTGCACCACAATTTCTTAGGGTTAGCCAAGTAAGGTGCACCAGACTTGCCACTGCTGAGCAAGTCCCCATATGAACTAAACCAGCGCAATCCGCCACATGTAATTGCGTCAATCTCTGGAATGAAGTCGGGGATGGAAATACGATCGATAAACTAGGGCACTGCCAAACGCACAAAAATTCAATCTGTTTGAGGATTTCAGCCATCAAGGAGCCATCTCTCCAGACTCGCTTCAGGTTACACAGCTTAATCAGCCAAAGTTGCTTCAGATTTCCGAGCGCCTTCAAACTCGCTCCCCCATGTCCAGACGCATCTTCTGGGAATATCTCATCAAAGGAATTACAGGACACAGCAAGGTCTTCTAGATTGGGGAATCTGTGGAGAAGGAAGTCGGAGGGAAAAGCGACATTTTCATCGTGGTAGCATGACAAAGCTAGGTGTTTGAGATTGCCAAAGGTGTGATGCTGCAGCATCACAACATCCTCCTTCCTTAATGTCAATTCCTCCAACTGTGAAATGACCTGCGATAGGAATCTCTTTAATTAGGCCACCAAAAGTCCAATGACTAAAATGCCCTCTCCAATATTTAGAGAAAAGAGAGGGAAAATTTCCCTGGAGCTAGACGAGCAAGTATCAATGACCATTATACAAGGGATGTATGGGAGCGATGATTGCCATTACTCGTGTGCCCAGTTCACGCACAATATGTTTCGAGAATTTCGATGAACAAAGTCATTAGTTAATGATACTTCAAATATTTCAATTGTAAACCAATTAAATCTAAAACGCAAAATAAACACATATGGATTTCAACAAGTTCGTTAGAAAAAACTTGGAACAAAACTTATTTGTTTCACCAAATCATGTTACTTTTATAGTAAGTAGATGTATTTCAATAGTAAGATGCCGCATTAATATGTTGCACTCTATTTTCAAAGTTGCAGTTCTCATATCTATTTTGCTATATATCATAAGTAGTGCATGGCTTCACCTTTCTATAATTCCAAGAAAAATGCAGTCAAACTGAACCGATGGTTGACAAAAACGGAAAAAAGAATTGAACATATGGGACATGGGCGAAAAAGTGATAAAGCAAGATAGAGCTTATATATATCCAAAAATTGATGGTAAAAGAGTAAATAATTAAGATAAATTGTTCATTCTTACAATAGCAAAATGAAACGTCAAATAAGCTAAGAAACAAAACAAAAGTACATATCCCCAAACAAAAGGATGCTTTAAGCGTTCAGTGGGGTAAAAGCTGAAATCTAATTCCGTGTTGGTATATCACTGATATAGTACTCAAATTAAGGTTGGTAATTTCATTTAAATGTTAGTAATTTCAAAAGCGTTGGTAAGCCGTTGAAATAAACGTTGGTAGATTATTAAAGTAGTTGGTAATCTTGAACATATAAAGAAATATTAGTACTTTTCAAGATCTACAAGATAAAAAGTTGTTCAGTGACTAAAATTAGTTGGTATCTTAAATTGACAAATATTGGTACATCAATTAGATTAACGTTTGTAATTTTAAATTAAAGTTAGTGATTTGAAGGGTGTTGGTTTGTTACAAGAATAAATATTGATTGTTTATTAAAGTAGTTCGTAATTTTGGACACATTGGTGCTTTTAAAACCTAACAATATAAAAAGTTGGCAAGTAAATAAAATCCATTTGTATCTTAATGTGAGTGATCTTGGTACACTAATAAAATTGAGTTCGGTAAATTCAAATAAAGTTAGTAATTTCAACCACAAGAATAAATGTTGGTAGATTATAATAGTAGTTGTAATTTTGAATGTAGAAAAAAATTTTAAGCAAGTTATCCGCGGAACTTAAGAGTTACCAACCATTTTCATTATCATGGAACTTTGTCCCGTAGCTAAGCTAACAATATGCCAAATGAATATAATTTTTTTAGTTTTGGCGGACAAGGTTGATCAAATTAAATTTAATAGTAAATCCCAACCATAAGACACGAGCGGCTCATGAGAAGCACGACTATCTATGCCAGTTAATTCAATAATTTTTTTAAAGTAAAAGCTAGGATCACAAAATTATATTCCATAGAATATGTGCTAAGAGTAATTAACTGCAATCAATCTTCAAATTTCTAAGCAATTCACAGGTTTGTTTATGTGGGTATTAAGAAGCACGAAACGTTGACAATTTCAATTTCCTACTTAAAATAGCAAAACACCAAGAGCAATGCACATAAACCAATGAAGACAACGGCAGAGAGCTAGAATTAAGGACGGTACCTTTTCAAAAGAAAACAGTGCAGATTGTTTCTCGCTGGTAGTTGTACCTAATGAGAATGACCTCATCTTGGCACAATGTCTCACTCGCAATTCCTTCAAGAGTGGCCATGTTGAAGTATGACTATTCTTGTAGAAGCTCCTCAGTTCCGGCAACTCAAATAATCTCAAGTTGGTTAATTGTGGAAAGAAGGGATCGCCTGCATTCATCCCTACTCTATCTTTCTCTGCGATAATTTCCTCCACCCCACAATCCTCTACTAAAAGTTCTTTGAGTTGTGTCATACTTTTTGCCACCGAGCTTGGAAATAAACTTTTGAGCCTCTCACACTCGACAACCTCGATTGATTGCAAGCGTCCAAAGGTAAGACCACCTTGAGGAAGTCCACTCCACACGTGCTTCATTTTTGGGAGCCGCGTCAAAACTAATTCTCTCAATTGAAAAGTGCTTGTAGAATGAGCTTCGCTAAAATTGAACTCTTGGACGTGAAATACCGCTTCTAAAGACCCACAATCGGTCACAGTTATCTTCTCTAGGTTTTGAAATCTTGTGAGCATAATATAAGATGAAAATATGGATGAAAGTTTTTCGCAATACTCCACTACTAGTGTCTTGAGTTTGCTAAAGGCATTTGAAGCAAGATCATCAAGCCACATCTTCTCCATGTTATCCATGTGCGAGATCTTCATTGACTCCATATTAGGAAACTCAACCTGTTATTTTTTATTTTAATTAATTAGAGCCGACTCTCTATTCCCCTCAAAAAAGAGAAGACTGTAATTTTAAGAGAAGGGAAATCACTGGATAAACATTATGGATAGAATAGAAAGAATATGCTACCTCCTAAAATCAATTCTCCTGTCATATTATTTTTGAGTAGAAAGCATATATTCATCTAATATATATCAAGCAGAATGTTTGAGCAGTAGCATATAACCCATAAGCACCTTAGTTAGACAAGCATAATCATTTAACGAGTCATATATTTCCCATAAACCTCAAATTTACCCTATCTTAGATTCCGCTCATCACAACACACAAATACACAATAGCCAACACACTCCCATTCCTTTGAACCATTTAAAAAATTATAGCTTGTGCATTATTAGGAATTGATATCTACAAAACAAATCAATTAGCATAAATCAATACTTCATGGATCTTGCACTAAAAAATATCTCCGACAAAGTATAGACTCCAAGAAAACATGACATATACCGAAGAAAGAAATCCAATAATTAAATCAAAAGATGGTAGAGTGCAGGTATGTACTATCCAATTGATGTTGGATGGGATTCTCCAACCACTAGCTGATTTGTTTTTTTTATTTGGTTGAGTTATTCAAACTTTTCAAAGATTTAGGATATTGATCTTGAATTATTTCTCTTAATATATTACTCTCTTATTTAAGTTGCCAACAAATATAGACGCAGAAAATAATTTTCTTTAGATCTAATGTTGAATTGATTTGATTACTAAGTTTGCCTATTTGACGCGTCTTTTTTCCCGCCAGAATTGGCCTTTCTATCTCTTTCATCTCTCTCTAGTTTCTCCATCTTTTCTTATTATCTGATTTTCCTCCACTTTCAACGAATCTAAACCTAACTTTCTACATGCTTTCATTCAACAATAGTTGGTATCGGATCTAGATTTGTTCTCCATCAATTGGTCTTCGAGCTAGATCTCTTCAAAATTAATTGGTATCAGAACCTTGCTATGAGTACGTTTTATGGTTCTGCAACTATTCTAGACCAAGGGCCAACGTGATGGTACTTATTTTAGTTGCTATACTTGCATTTGTGAGCTGATATGCTCATGAAGATATATGGCATTCATGCCTATTGAAACTTCAGTCGCCATGCCTGCTGATTTGGAGCCACTCAATGTTTGGTATAATTTTCTATTTGAATAATGTTGCAATATTTATTAGATCTGGCGTACCGAAATTTGAAAAGTGCAGGAGTTATCAAGATCATTACGTCGATTGGTATGGCGATTATTATTATAATTATTATGTTATTCTAATAATTTTGGCTATTAGGAGTAATACGACTATTGCCATGATTATGAATATTATAAATCCTTAACAATCTTGAAGAGTTTTACTTACCAAAAAAAAAAACAATCTTGAAGAGTTTAAATAAACTTTAATGATCTGAGAGAATATTTCAACAATTTTGGTAAGATTTGAATAGATTCAATAAAAAAACTGTAAGGAAGATAAGAAAACGGTCCAAAATCAGTTCGCTATTGAGCAAACAGCATGAATAAGTACTCTTAATGTCTTGAAGAGTTAAATAAGGACTCTGGTTATGAGAATAGTGAAGTGAGTGGAATACAATTCTACTAACTAATTCAAGATGAATTATTCTAAATGAATTTATTATCAGTTCGCTATTATTCTAGATGAATTTATTTAAAAACCTTCTGAAATTTAATAAATTCAGGACTGTAATTTCTCCTATTGATCATTCACAGAAGTGAAAAATTCGTGATGCTAAAATTTGGTCTAAAATACTTAGCATAGCCTTATAATTCCTAGGTGCATATCCAAATCGCCCTTTTGTGGATTATGCGATTATTCAGTGCGGAGATTTCTTGAATTTTGCAACAACCATTATGCCAGGCGCTCCGCATGTAGCAAAGATTTTTTGCTGGGCAAAAGTTGTTTAATCTGACTTAGAGGAAGAGCCACCGGAGAAAGGACTTGACTTCTTCTTGGCGGGGCCGATTGATGAATGACATGATTCTCCCACCACCTTGCTGATTTGTTTTATTTATTTATTTATATTGAGTTTAGTTTTTTTTTTGGGTCAAAATATATTGAGTTTAGTTATGCGATACTATTTCTCTCATTAGGATATGCTTATTAGTTTGAACTCTTGTTTTAATTACCTATAAATATAGGCCAAGATACTAATTTTTCTTCAGTTTTGAGGATGAACTCATTGATTAATGAGTTTGCCTATTTGGCGTTTCTTCTTCCTCGCCTGAATTGGCATTTCTGTGTCTTTCTTCTCTCTATCTAGTTTTTCCCTCCTTTATTGCCATCTGATTTCCCTTCAATTTTTATCATTCTGAACCAACCTTGCTATGCACTTTCGTTCTATATTATCGGTTGAGCTTTTCCAATTTTTTGTGATAGCGAAAGACACCTCCTTGAAATATGTTTGAGTTGTACTATAACCCAAAGCCACCAATCTGGCCTGTCTTAGATTTCGCTCATTGCAGCACACACATACACAATAGCCAATAGACTCTCCCATTTCTTTGAACCATTTAAAATTATAGTTTGTGCATTGTAAGGTTTTGACGGAAAAAAAAAACAATTAGCACAAACCAATGCTCTGTGGATCTTGCGCTTCAAAATTTTCTTCGACAAATTTTAGACTCCAGGAAAACATGACAGATACCGAAGAAAAAATCCGACAATTAAATCAAAAGATGGTAGACTACGGTAGGATGGGATTCTTCAACCGCTAGCTGGTTTGTTTCTTTATTTAGTTCAGTTATTCGATATCTCTCTAGTTTCTCCCTCCTTTCAAATTATCTGATTTTCCTCCGGTTTTCACAAATCTAAACCTAACTTTCAACATGCTTTCGTTTGACATAAGTTGTTACCGGATCTAGATCTGTTCGTCATCAATTGGTATCTGAGCTAGATCTCTTCAACATCAATTGGTATTAGAATTTTGCTTTGACTACATCTTGTCATTGTGCGATGATTCTACACCAAAGGCCAATGCTATGGTACTTATTTTAGTTGATACACTTGCATTTCTGATTCGATAAGCTCGTGAATAGCATTCATGCCCATTGAAAGTTCAGCCACCATCCGTGCTGATTTGGAGCCACTCCATGTTTTGTATAATATTCTCTTTCAATATTTTTTCAATATTTATTAAATCTAGTATAAAAAAGTGTAAAGGTTTATTAAGATTATTATGTTAATTTGCATGACATTTACGATTATTACGAGTCATGTTATTTTAATAGTTTTGACAAGATTATTACGACAATTGCTGTAACTATGATCATCAAAAATCTTAAATAATCTTGAAGTGATTAAACTTATTTTTTAGTGAGTGGGATAAAATTGAACTAACCAATTTGGATGAATTTATATAAACACCTTTGTATTTTAATAAATTCAGAAATGCCATTTCTCCTATTGATCATCCATAGCCCTCGCCAGTGGCCCTGCGAGGGTCAACCGCCCTCGCCGTGACCCTGGTGAGGGTTGTAGGCTCTCAACAGCGGGAAGTGTTGGTCCCAATTTAGCCCCTCCCCCTTGACTTGCGATGTCATGCAGGATTATTTTAATCCAGTTTTCATATTCACTGTTTTACTACTGTTGGATTTCTTCTATTTTTTAGTCCTTTTTCTATTCTTTTTTGTATATTTTTCCAATGTGGCAATATTAAAACAACACCCTTTTGTGCTCGAGGAAGCTCCATCACTGCATTAATTGCCACGTAGGACTGCAAATATGATGAAAATGAAAATGCAGATTTTCCATCTACAGAAAAACAAAAGACTTAACAAGTCCTAAACAGTGCATAAAGAGTACAATTATTATGACTTAAATGCATGTTAAAGAGTTTTAGAGCTTAAGTGCACACAAGTTTTAGGACTTGTGATGTCATTATCGCTTGATCTTACATCAATAAAGATTTAAATTTGAGGAAACCTCTTTAGTATCGTCTAGACTCTAGATTAGTTAAATGATGCTAACTGGAGCTTAGCCTCTAATTAAGTAATATATGTATTTCAATTACAGTATTAATGAAACATTACATTAGTCTAAAATTTGAGAGTGAAAGAAAAATATATCAAGTTTTGGAAATTTATGAAAAAGTTTCGAAATACGTGTCAATATGTTAATTTTAGAGAAATAGCTTTAATATGTTTGTAATTAATTTAAAGTCAAAAAATTGTAAAAGAAAATGATACGCCAGCATAAGTCACCCCCACATACCCTTATATTGTCTAGCTCAAAGCATCAGGGACAAGAAACTAAATATGCCATCAAAGAAGAATGCGCACAAACCTTATCGACCATCAAAAGTGGTTGCTGCGTTGGAACGCTGCCCTCTAGTCTTCTACAATTGGCATCTCCTCGAATTACCTCTACAGCTTTACAATCTTCAACAGTAAACTCTTTCAAGGAGGGCCACTCTGAAATATGCTTCCCATGGCAGAAACTCCTGAGTTTTATCATTTTGTGAAGATATAGAGTGACAAGTTGAGGAATTACAATTATGTCAATTGATTCTTCAGGTTTCTCCTCTTCTCTGGCAACAATGTATTCCATCTCTCCACAACCCCCTAGACCAAGATACTGGAGCTGTAATAGACTTTTTGCCGTAGACATTGTAAAAAGGTTTCTCAGACGTGGGCACTCCTCAACTGTCAAGGACTCCATACAGTGAAGCAGCCTCTTCCCCATGAATGAAGGAATGACATTCAATAGGTCGGGACACCGCTTCACCTCAAGGACCTTTAGTTGGCAAATGGACTCATCGGGCATCTCATTCTCCCAAAGTCCTTTTGATTGAATTCCTGTTAGATGTAGCTCTTCTAATTTGGGAAATACAACCTGCATACGCATCACCTGGCTAAAGTCACAATGACTAGCATCGAAGCAAAGTTTCTTATGTGTCCAAAGCATCACAAAGAAGAAAGCAAATCACATGAGCAGCGATACAGCTGAGATAAAGGAAAGAGGAAAACCTTCTCGTCAAATAAAGAGCGTGGACTTTCATCAAAACCGGAAGACCCCTCATTCATCGCCTCCACTCTTGGTGCTGGCAGCCTCATTATGAATGCCTTGAATTCAGTGCACTCCAAAATTGAGAGATTTCTAAGGGAGGGAAACTCATATGCACAAGTTCCTGAGCTGAAACTAATCAAGCTCTTAAGGGAACAAAGCTGCAATGTACGTAAATGAGAGAACTTCACTGCCTCCAACTTTCGCTCTTCACTTTCTTCCGTGGCAACTACTTCCTGCATGTTATTGCAACCAAAAACATCTAGCATCTCAAGTTTATCAAGAGTCGTGGATGTGTCATTTGTGAAGAGATATCTCAAACTGTGGCAACAGCGCAAGCTAACATAAGTCAAACTGGGAAGACTCAATGTTGCTTCGGCGCTGCTTGTCACAAACGCATTCAGCCTCGGCAGGTCCCACAACTTCACTTCTTTTAAGTCCAACAAGACCAGACGTTTTTTCCTTTTCTTAGTATTGACAGCAACATGCTCCATTATTGCTTCCAAAGAGGCACACTCGACCACCTCAATCCTTTTCAGGCTCCGGAGCCTCTCTATGAAAGTTGATGGAAAAATATGGGACAAATTTTCACAATCTCGGACCGTGATGGATGCTAGTTTGCAGAATGATTCTTCAGAAAGTTGATTGTGCCATATCTTCATCAACCCACACAACGACACGAGGGTCAACTCCTCCAAGCTCGGAAAAAGAACCTGTATGAAAGGACCATATGTTAGTTTCTCGATCATGAACTTATAAATATCCTGATTTGGATGAAGTTGGTTACCCATGATAATATGCTCTATAATATATTTTCAAGAATGAAGTTGGTTACCCGAGATTATACCATTGTAATAGAAAAACAATAGGTGCATGGAGTAGCAAGAGGCTTTAAAGGACAAGCTGATAGATAGAGTTTTCAACTACTTCATCGTTGATAAGACTACAGTTACCAAGAATAATTTCTACGATAAACATAAAATAGAAAACTCCATAGATATTTACTCACATTTTCATTGAAGAGTATAGGCAAGGACAAGCTAGAGTTGACACCACCAAATGCTTGTTGTAAACTTGTATCAGCTGTTACCGTTTGTTGCTTTCCTTCGAATGAAGAGAATGTTATCATCCTGGGGCATTCAGTTATCGTCAGCCTTGTTAAGGTTGGACAGTGAATACGGTACTTCCCATAAGAGAATGTCCTGAGATTTGGCAATTCCTCAAGAGATAAGGAGGTTAATAGAGGGAACTCTAAAGTGTCGATGGATGCAGCTTCCTCTGGTTCTTCTTCTTGCACATCTATAATATCCTCCAATAGTTTACAACTTGCTATTTTAATTTCTTTTATTTGCTGGAGTGCTTTAGCCATGGAAGAAGAAAAAAGAAACCTCAAGTTCTCACAGTTTTGCACCTTCAGTACCCTTAAGTTTTGGAAACACAACGCTATTCTTGGATTCTTGTTCCATATGTATCGCAACCTTGGTAAGTCACTCAAGGTTAATGTGGTCAATTGCGAGAGAATCTTGACATCCCCACTTGTTGTCAGTCCTTCAAGGTCGAATATGTTTCCTAGTAACTGACATCTTTCAATGGTTATGGCTTCCAAATTCTGTAGCTTTATTACCAAATTTGATGGGAAGATGCTCAAGAGGAATGCGCAATCCTCTACCCTTAGAAATTTTAGGTTGCTCACATCTGAAGGAAATTGAGAGTTCCATATCTCTGTCAATTTGGGAAGTTCAGATAGTGTCAAGGACTCCAACCAGGGCAATGCAACCTTAAAAAGCAAGGAGAATCACGTTATGAAGGCATATGCATCAATTTTCCTTTAGTTGCGAGGAGTGGATAACCCCACATAATTTCACAATACTTGTAACTAAAAATTATGAACACGCATTGCGAGTGAAAATAATAAAGGAAATAATCTCACATAATAGATTTGAAGATGATGGAAGAAAAGGCCGAGTAGTGATTTCGACTTTTACCTTTTTCTTCTTTAAATTTTATCAACTTTTACACTTGACTTATCATTTACCTTTTATGTATTGGGACTATACTATATATGTGACAGGAGGAGGAAGTTATAATCCCTAAGTTATTGAGCTTATTGAATTTACCCTCACATTTTGTGCTTTCTAAAATTTGAAAATTAATGGCATAGACTCAATTAATTCTTGTTAGTCATTGATTGTGGTCTCATATAATATCTCAAACGACAATGTAAAAAAAATATCTCAATTAGTTTCTACCAAATCGTCATGAACTATAATATTAAGTTAAAAAAATAGACATAGAACAACATTAAACATAACAACGAACATTATTTAAAGGACTTGTAATTGACAAACCGATAAAAACTATACTTTTAATTGATTAAAAGGAGTAATTTGAGTCTGGCATTTTTCTTCAAAGTATTCCAAAAAAACATGCCTTATCAGAAGATTGAAAGTAAAAAGTAATTATAAATTTATGAAGTAGTCAGAAAAATTTGTTGTCCCAGGGCATAACATGGGCTAAAACTCTAGTATATCTGTAATGCGAAATGGATGACTTATCGAACCAAGGTCAAATAGGGGTTCATCAATTTGAGATCCATGGTTGGCCATAAGATCCATGAACTGGTCGCAACAGCACCAAATGGGCATGAAAGTCAATTTCAGCAATGGATTTAATTTTACCTATATAAGAACCTAAGGTACCCTTTCTCGTCATAAAAAGATTAATTTATGTGGACAGTTAGTCATGTAGCCAAGAAAAAGAGTTATAGTTGAGCATCATGCTTTTGCGAAATTACAAAAACTGTTTTTTTTTTATCATCATGCTTATACCTCGGAGCCATATAATCTCTAAAATATAATCTAAAAAAGGGTTTCCAAATTTTTGTCTACTACTAACAGAATAGTTACAGAAACTGTTTTTCTTTTTTGGTCGAAAACACAGAAACTGTTAAATCCAAGCAATAGCAAACAAATAAATGCTAGATGTATTTCTAAAAAATACTTTAAAGCAACGTTTTATTACAAAAAAAAAAGAAATTTAAACATGTGCAGCGCACATAAACTCTGCAATTAATATTAGAAAAGTAGTTAAAATGAAGATTTGTGGTAGATTTGATCAAAATAGAAGGTCCATGTTACAACCAGGGGTAACGAAAATAAATTGCCCTATTGGACATTATATTTGATTTTTGATTTCGTAGTCACATAATAGTCCATCAATTAACATGTAAGAGTATAAAAAAATCATATAATGGAAGTTTGTTTTTTTTTTTTTTTTGGGTAAGGATATAACGGAAGTTTGTTTAGAGCCACATTTCCACAAAAAATAAATTGAGGATAATTCTAAAGTCAATACTTTAATGTATTTATAAATCAAATATCTAAATAATCAAATTCGAATAAACTCAATACCTTTTAACACAAAACACTAAACTACACAAATGCTATTAAATTATTGTTGCCGTTTGGTTGATAAATGCATATTACTTTGTTAAAATTACACAAAATTTCTATACATCATATCTCCAAAGTATATATTTCAATAAGTTAATTTTTTTAAAGACCGCAAAATGTGTGGGACTTTAACTGATACCTTTGAAAGATATGGAGGAAATTGGAAAAGTCTATAAAAATGGGAAACTTTATTCGCGTTATTTTGTCTATCTTTCCCCATATTTCGTTATCGAGAGTATCACGAATTGAGTAATGAACTAACTCATGCTTAAAACAAGTATTTTTCTATGATTAACATATTTAGTTGAAGGCAATATCCATGTTTGTAACAAACTCATCAGATTAGTCGGAGAAGGTTTCCTCCAATTAAGATGGTCCGGATGAATGGGAACATGACTCTTTTAGAAAGCATGAAATTTACCTGTTGCCCATCCAAGAATACGACTGAGTGGTCCTCAGTTTCATAGAAGCTCATCATCTCTGGCAAGTCTTGTAACGTTAGCCTACGCAGCTTGCATGACTTCACGTTGGCATCATCATCAATTTCATCTCTGTATTCATCTGCTTCGCAATCTCCGATAATTCGTTGCATCAAGTGGCATCCAGTTATTTCAATCTCTTCTAGCTGCAAGAATATATGTGCCATGGACGAAGGAAACAAATGTTTGATTACATCGCATTCGTCCACTTTCACAATCTTTAATTTGCTGAAGGATTCTGGGGGAAGACAATCGCGACAAATCTTCTCCAAGTTGTTCAAATTCTCTAGAACCAATGATTCGAGTCTCGCAAATGTAGGGTACTGTGTGGAGTCAACAACGTACTGAAATGAGTGGTTATTTTTTACGAAAAGATGCTTCAATTCCTGAAAACCTTTGGTGCACAAGTTGTGAATGCTATCTCTGCCATCTTGCAATCCATCCAAGCGGAGACCTTGCGTTCTCCCCAGACATTCCTGCATACACACTTCACGAAGAAGATTGCCAGAATCTAGCTTAAGCTTTAAAGTTCTGGATTCTTTGTATTCATCCCACCAAAATGCAAATGCCCCAATTTGGATTTTATGCTCATTTAGATTCCCGAATGGTAGGTCGCTTGAGAGATTGGTAGAATGAGGAATGGCAATGGACAAAGTGCTCAACTTTTTCATGTTCTTCAACTCAGCCAGGCTGGTGTTGCTTCGCAGTTCTTCATCCTCGGCCTCCCACTGATCAAAACTGTCTTCCATATGCAGTTCTTCTAAATTTACCAAGCTTCCAAGCACGCCAGGTTCAATAACCTCGAGCCCGATACACCCGGTCAAGTCCAAAAATCTCAATTCTGTAAGTCCACCTATCTCCGTGGGTAGCCGAGTGATTGCAGATTTGTGGAAGCTTAGGAACTGCAATCTTTTCAGCTTTCCAAGAGCACTCACGTCCTCCAGATGGCAGAAATCAAGATTTAACGACTTGAGGTTCTTAAGGAACTCAATCGATGAAGGTAGAGATGTGAAAGATAGACAAGTAAAGTCCAAGACTTGGAGCTTCTCCATAGAATCAAAAAATGACTTGGAAATTTGGAGAGACGGGTTGTCTTCATATAAAAGAAGCATTCTCAAATTTGGACAGTCCGGTTTTTCTGGAAGCTCATCAATGCCAACAAAAGGGAAGGACATTGCGGTGCATTTTTGGAGATCATCTTTTGACCATTCTTTAAACCCACAATCCTCCCTCCCAACCAAGGCATTCCATTGAGTGGAAGCAATAGAGATGGCCACGTCAACAAATATGTCATGCATTTTGATCTCTTCCATGTTATCACTATCTAGTAACAAAGAAGAGTCCTGCAGGCTATGTAGATCCATAATCAACTTATCCCTAGCATCATCTATGGTCTTGAATTTTTTATATAAACCCAAACCCATGCAGTATGCTAGGGAACACCTCATGACAATTCTCCCAGAATCTAGAGCAGAAACCAAGAACAATGATTTGATCCTCTCATCTTCTAAGTCATTGTAATTTAGTTCCACTATTGATTTTGCATCCGATAATTCCATATTGGTCAAAGCATTCCTCCATTCAGCCATATCTCCATGCTTCAACCTTTTTGCCACCGATAGAATCAAAAGAGGCAAGCCACCACAATTCCTGACCACTCCATCCACCAAGGGTTTAAAATCAGGTTCGTTGACTTTGTCCTCCACTATCCTTTCAAAAAGTCTTCGTGCTTCTCCATGCTCCAACTCATTGAGTCGGAATTCTCGGTCAGTGCCCATGTCAGTGCGCAAAACATCTCGGTATCTAGACGTTAGCAATAACTTGCAGCTTCTTACTTTATTATCATCACCACAAGGGATTCCAATGTCCTTCAACTCTAGCTTCTTCCACAAATTATCTAAAATTATGAGAATGTTGTTTTTAGGATCACTCTCTAACCTCTTATTCAAAAGATCTGCTCTCCCACGAATAGTTTCCTCATTCATTAGCTTCAGACCCAGTGCATAAGCGATTTCTCCCTGGATTCTTTTTAGATCTGAATTACGTGATACATTTGCCGTAGCAATCACATCAAACTGCTTCTCTTGCTTTACTTGTCTTTCAACGTCCTCCAAAAGCTTGGACTTGCCAACCCCACCAGGTCCATACACCCCAATCACACGGACCTTGTCATCAGCTATGGCCTTCATTACATCCTTTGTGACTGAAGCCCTCGACTCAAGGACATCTTCTTTCTTGTCAACAGATCTTTCAGCGGAAGTGGTGCCAGTGACAATTCCTATCGGAGTATTCTCATAAAAGACGTTTTTGAAGTTTTTATTTCGGCTATTCTCGTGGAGGCCCTGAATGACTTGAGTCATCTTCTTCACCTTCCTGCCAATCGGATGGCGCACCACGGGGTTGGGAATCCACCCCCGGAAGCAAGCATTCTTTGCACTTTCGCCACGTTTTAACAGGTCTTTTGCTTCCTCAGCCTCCTTCTCGACACTAGTCAACCACTTCTGAATATCAGTGTGTATAGGTTTTCCGTTATACTTGGCTGTATCGACAGAGCGCTGCACCCTTTCCCTTGCAGTCTCTAGCTCATTGACTCCATTTTCGAGATCTTTGACGTAGCATGTGTAGCACATCACGTACCCAAATTGACGTCCAATGGGAGCAAACAAGTACTCACCAAGTTTCGACACAAGATTCACTGCAACGTTGGTAAAAAAGGCCCCGGCCATTTCTTCCTTCTTTTCTAGAAATTTCTTTTGCCCCTGTTTTTTTTTCCTCTTGTTGTGTCTCCTTGTTTTTGCTTAAACAAATGGGCGAGAAGGAAACTGGACAGAGAACAGAACTAATCACTCGCGACGTATGAAAAGAAAGGAAGAGCAAAGTGATAAAACAATGGCAACAGCGAAACAAAAGCAAAGACGAGAGAGAGAGAGAGAGAGAGAATAATTTGGTTGCTTTATGGTTCAGCACACAAGTAACACGTTACTGGTCTACGTGGACTATTTGCAGATGATCTTACGTGGGCAAGCAACACGTCTACCACGTGCAATAATTTGGTACGTTTCTTTGTTTTTTGTTTCATGACAATGGGGATGATTCTTCGGGGGCTCCAACAAATTTTGCAGTCTCCATCACGATTCCACGCTCTCACAGTTTTTCTCGAGATGAAGTTCAAGTGTGTCCAAATTTAAAACTAAAACATTAGGAAGAAACATTACATGCATATTGTCGATTCTTGTGAATATTGATAGTTAGAACCTATTAAAGAGATAGTGAACAAATAGCATTTAACGGCCGATACTTGTTTTGATGTTTGTACCATTCACCACTTGGATTTGAACGCATGAGAGGTTACAAATAATTCTTAGAGCACTGTAGATTCCATGTGCCCCATAAATTAAAAGATAATTTCTATTTTTAAAATGGCTACACCTAAATGTGAGGAATTCAAAATTAAATAACAATATCGCATCAATTAAAAGTTCACATAAAGGAAATACGGTGGGGCTAACCCCTTTGGCTTTGTACACACCTTTATTATTAATTGACCAAAATAACCTTTTATATTCGGAAACAAGATCAATCACCAATTCACCCTACTTTTTTCTCTCCCATCTCTTCTCTTCACCTTCTATGCTCATTGTTAGTTGACTAAAATATCCTTCCATGTTTGAAAATCAATTAATCATCAATTAACCGTACTTTTTATTTCTCATTGCCACCACTGATTCTCCCATCTTCTTTTTTCTAAATTGTGATCGATTAAATTATACGTGTAAGTTTGTAACTTTGGTCCCGAAAATACTATATTGCTTAGATTGTTGATTCTTTGATGTAACTTTTCTATTCATCTTAATAGCAATAGGACGATGTGAAGCCATTTTTGGGATGTTCCAACTCTCTCTCTCTCTCTCTCTCTCTCTCTCTCTCTCTCTCTCTCTCTCTCTCTCTCTCTCTCTCTCTCTCACACACACACAGAGGCAACACAAACACTCATGTTCAGTGTTCATCAACGAACAACTTGCGATTAGTTGAGAAAGGATAACACTAGGGGGGCAATGATGAGGATAGAATACATCACGTGGTTCTATCTAACTTGCTCAATTAAATAATTGTAATTGAGAGAAGAACAAACAAAACAAGGCAACAAAAAATCACAACTTTATCAACGCACAACTTGCTATGAAGAACCACGCTTATGTATATTTAGTTGCACCGTTTATTTACAAGTTATCGCTATTGACTCAAAATTGTATATTTGTAATGCTTATGTGTTTTCTACAAGTTTGTGCACGTTGGCACGGGTTAAAGAAGACCTAACCCTGTCTGAAGATAGATATGGGTACATAGCCATTACCCAATCAACCGAACATCTGGGCTGGTTTGGCCAGATACCTATGTTCCGTAGAGAAACCAATGATGGCTTCAACAACCGGAGCCAAAAAGAGCAGTGAGCGCCTCACGGTGATGGTTGTGGCAACACCACGCTTACCTCGACAGTGGCGCTGAAAATGTATGTGGCACCAGTACTCGTTAGATTGGAGAAATGTTTAGTCAAGAATGGAGTTAGAGCAATACCAAGTCAAACAAAATCATAATGTCTTTGCAATTGGAACTTGCAGGAGGGCAAGTTGGTCTATGGTCAACCTTCAGCGAAAGAGAGAAATATGGTCTCAAATTGGTCTTTCGCTAATAGACGTTGTGAACTAACTGGTCTTTTGCTAAAAGACGTTTTACTTTAATCAAAACTTAGCTCTTTGGCCAAAAAACAAACGATACTTACGTTAGTTTCAAGATGTTCATAGTAGAAATTAATTTTTAAATGATGTAATTCTTTAAGATCCACGTAATCATCTCCTTTACTGACAAAATTATGGTCAAGGTCTTCTAAGCTATTTTCTTCCACTCAACCAAAAGGCATTATTCTTTATTGACTAGGCTTTGCGAAAATTACGGAGCGTTGTGGTCCCGTAAATTAAGACGTTTTCCTCCAATCCTTCCCATCTGATAAGGAAAGGTTTTGATTAATCAGCTATAATTCACATAAGCACGCCATAAGATTCCTCTTTCTCGCTTACAAATGTGTGGAAAGATATGGATATTTCTTTTTTTATGCAATGATTAGTACAAGACAAAACATAATCGTAAGGGCCTATGTAATAATTTCTTCATCTCCATAGACATTTTCTCACACTAGTGTGCACACTGAAATAAATTTATTAATTAATTAATCTGTGTTTGAAAGCATCTAGCTAATGGACAGCTCATAGATAGGAACTTCCACTATGGTTGTAATTTATAACAAGATTATTTTATTTGACCGGTGTAGACTCATGTGAAGCTTATTTTAGTCATTTTCACAAGAAATGAATTTCACTTAAATCATTTGAGCGCTTGGTGTGATCACTTTCCCTAAGTTCAAAAAAAAAAATGAAAAACTTGAACGTCTACGATACAAACCTATCTATGGCCCACCAAAGATTATGCTTTTCTCTTTTTCGGCATTTGCAAGCACAATTTGAAGAGTTCATTTATTGAGTGCACATATGAGGTGGAAAAACCTAGTCCGACATTTTTTTACCAGAAGAAGTATCATATGATTCTCAAAAGAGGGGGTCATGTATTAATTGGTCAAGGTTAGCCTCCGTTTATTAGCAATGGTAGAGTTACTTTTTAAATGTTTGGGAAATGAAGTAAATTGGAGAAAATGAAGGTTTGGGTGGACAATGCAGAAAACTTTAAAATTTTGGTGAAAGAAAAAAGGTGAAATGTTGACATTTTCTCCAATAAGTTTCCGCAACCCCATCATCTCAAACGTAGCAAGACATGGAACTACCGTAAATAAAATCTTATTTTGAGCCACTTTGGTCCCATGAGTCATCTGTAGTTAAAACCTAATTTGGACTCATTATATTGGGCCGAGCCCAATATACGCAACTTGTAAATTTTAATCTTCTCCGGGATCATTTTTAGCGAGAGACAAAAGGAGGATCATCTCAGATTATCACTTCTGTTCGTGACAAATGGGGATAAGAATTTAATTTAGTCAACTATCTTTTTGATAGTTTCAACCTAGTCTTAATAGTCGACCAAGTGTTTAATATTTCACGTCTTTATTAAGAATCAAAATAGGTCTGCCTTAAATTTTCTGTCAATTGTGAAACAGAACCTTGAAAATAAAAAAGAAAATGTTTATACTCAGTTTGTTGATCTTTTTTCTCTTATGGGATAATGACACAAACAGTTTCTGAACTTTGACCCAATGTACACTATAGTCTTTGAACTTTTAATTTGTTCAATTTAATCCTTGAACTTTAGCCTAATTTTCAGTATAATCCCCAAATTTTTAATTTGTTGAATGTGGTCCCTAGATTTTGATTATTGAAGCCGTTGGAGGTTTGCTCTAAAAGCTTATAGGTGCGGCGGGGGGCTATTAATTATGGTACGGAAGCAAGAGCGATGTAAATAAACAAAGACTAAGGAATATCAGCGACTCTTAATTATGGTACCAAGCACTGCTGACTCTTACTTTTTGACTCGAGCAAAGTTTGCATCGTCCAAACTCACTCTCTCTCTCTCTCTCTAGTACGCACGCATACAACACAAGTACGCATGCTCATTGTTCATCAACAAACAACTTGCAATTAAGATATTCATTAACTGAGAAATGTATTATATTAGTGGAAACTGATGAGGATAGGAATCATCACGTGGTTCTGTCCCATTTGCCCAGATAAATTATTGCAATTGACCGTCGGGCAAAGACAAACAAAACAAGGCAGCGTAAAATCACAACTTCATCATCAAAGTTGCAATTAAGAAGTTGATTAGTCGAGAATCATTAGAGGGGAGGGAAAAGAAGTGATGAAGGGGGACATCCCCCTTAAGACATTTTTCAGCCCGAGCCGTGATGGAGTCGGTTGTTTCTGACTTGTTGACGGCGACTGACCTTAACGTCCTTTCTTCATTTTCTTTTATTGACCATTCCATTGCGACTTGGACATAGGACGTAGCTAATGAAGAGAGTCGGGGCCCAGTGGTCACTGTGGGTTGGAGAGTCGTTTGGAGTTCTCACATAAATGGTGGGCCAAATCCAGACAAAGAATCATGTGTTTACATCCGAGGAGTCAAATTGATTTTACTTTCTAAATATGTCGAAACCGAAAAGCAAAGAGTCTCTCACTGCTTCTAGTTTTTTGTTTTTTATGTTCTCTTTGATAAAAATCCATTTTTTTACTTTTTTAATGATTTAAAAAAAGACACGTCAGCATACATGTAAGCACCGTTTGTTTATGTCAATTGCCACATAATTCTTTTGGATGGAAAATTTTCACCCATTTTGTTTCTTCTTCCTTGTTTTTTTTTTTCCCGCTTTTGGGTTTTTTAGGGTAAAATCAATACAGCCAAGTTTTCAAACAAAGAGGTTGAAAGTGAAACAAGCTCTCATCGCACACGAAAAGTAGATATATAATGACATGCATACCGGGAGTGGCCTCACTGTGGGATGCAGGAGGAACTGAGATTCCTTGACTTCACTGCTGACTTGTCTGGAAGATGGATGAAGGGCATTGCAGGCCAAAATCAGTCTTGATAACACCAGAATAGAAGTGAACAGATTAGCACGACGCGAAAACAAGTGGACACCGTGGGGGAAGAAAAGAGCAGGGAACTGAAATTTCATTGAAGAGAATTGCAATCGAGGAAGATGTTTCAATACCTTCAGCTTCGACTTGGAATGGCTAGAGGATGAACGGATTCTTTGCTGTGTTCTTGCAGCAAATACTAAGCCTGGCTTATTGGACTGGCCATGTGCTGCTACAGAAATCAAGAAACACAATTAGCAGTCAACAGGTCAATGTGTTGTTCTCAAGAAACCATACCTTGGTATTGTCCAAATTCTCTCTCTCTCTCTCTCTCTCCCTCTCCCTCTCTCTCTCTCACGTGCAACACTAATACCCACGTTCATTGTTCATAAAAAAACATAAAAAAACATCTTGCAATTACGAAATTGTTTAGTTGAGAAGTGTATTTTAGAGGGAAATGACGAGGACAGACTCATCACGTGGTTCTATCCCGTTTGCCCAGATAAATAATTGCAAACGACCATCGGACAAAGACAAACAAAACAAGGCAACAAAAAATCACAACTTTATCAACACTCAACTTGCAATTAAGAAATTGATTAATTGAGATATAGTGTGTAATATTATAGGGAAATGATGAAGAGGGACATCCCCCAAGACATTTTCGACCAAAGCCCAGATGGAATTTCGACTTGTTGACTGCAACGATCTCAATGTCTTTCTTTCTTTTTTCATTCTTGATGGCGTGGAAAGAGACGGCACTTCTTCTTTTTTTCATTTTTCTTCATTGACCATGCTATTGCGACCTCAATGTCTAATTGATTTCTTCCTCCATTAATAAATTAATGCTATGGTCGCAAATTGGTCTTTTGCTAATAGAGTTTCTCAAATAATTGGTCTTTTGCTAAAAGATTTTTTAATCAAAACTTATCGTTGGCCAAAAAAGAATAATACCCATGTTAGAGTCAGGGTGTTCATAGCGGAAATTGATTTTCAGATGATGCTACTTTTCAAAGGCCACATAACCATCTCCTTTACCGGCAATTTTTGCAAGATGTTGAATAGTATGATTCGAATTATTTTCCTCAACTCAACCAAAAGGCTTTATTCTCTAATGATCAGAGTTAGTGAAAGTTATGGTACAGTGTGGTCCCATAGACTAATTTTCCTCGAACCCTTCCCATCTAATAAGGACGAATTTTGACTAATAAGAAATCATTCACTGGAGCTCGCCCTAAGATTGCCCTTTCTCACTTACAAAACCTAATCGTAAGGGCGTAAGTAATAGTTTCTTCATTGCCATTTATATTTTCTCACACTAGTGTGCACAATTAAATAAATTTATTTATTAATTACTTTGTGTTTGATAATATATAGCTAATGAACGGCTCATTCTTAGGAACTTCCGCTGTTGTTATAATTGATGACAAGCCTATTTTATTTGACCATATATAGATAATAAAAAAGGTACATATACATTTTTCTTAACACGACCCATTAATTCAAATCATACTATTCCGTTGTTGTTATAAGAACTTCCACTAATAAAAAAAGGTACATATCCATCTTCAACGGAAGCTAAAGGTTTTTAAAACTTGATTTTGTCAACCAAATTTATGTAAGATGGTCATATCCTCGCTCTTCTATCCTTTTTTTTTCTGAGTATCAACACTTATTAGTGAAGATGAAGCTCACACATGTCACCACATAACCCTCGGTTGTTACCTGATATGTTATTTTAAAATACTAGATTCTTTTCTCCTTTATTCATATAATAGAATAAATCATCAAAAAGTTACATTTGATCATATTTAAATTTTCAACATTTGTTCCATCATCACTTATCACGAGGTAAATCAAGCCTAACAAGTTGGGCCCTATTTGGTTAGATAATGTAGTCATCTGCAATTCCATGTGCTGAGCATTATAAAATACAAGCATCAAGTCAGGATAACAGAAAATATGGTACATTTTACATTGTACTCTTTTGTTATCAAATCGATGAAGTTTGGTTAGCATGTGTTTGCATAAGACTCATTCTCTCTCTCTCTCTCTCTCTCTCTCTCTCTCTCTCTCTCTCTCTCTCTCTCTCTCTCTCTCTCCACATGTTTGAAACTTGTTTTTTGTGAATCCTCTCGCTCAGTATAAGGACAAGGTAGGTTTAAAGCAACAATATCCAATTCCCCATAATCTACATATGCACTTGCTACGATGTCCAATTTGTCATATGTGTAATCTACGTTTGTACTTACGCTTTACTTTGAATAAAGCAGATAAAAATTTAATAAATTAAGAGCGGGGTTGTCCGTAAAGGAAATTGATGTATAGATATATGAATCAAGGGTGAGGGCCCTTAATTAAAAAATTTCACTTACCTACTTTTCAAGAAAAAAAACGGAGGACTTTTAGTCAACCATCCCGGTCTCTAATCATAGGCAATGTTTTATAAATAGCATAAATGGAGTGAGGGCCGATATGTGATTCCACCGATTCAATCGGTAGAACTATTTACACCGACCAGTTTAAATATAAAGAGTAAAGTAATAAGCAATAAATGTAATGATAATTTTGAAAAGGGGAAATTGACATTAAAACTTTCTAAGCTTTGACCCAATACGAAATGTAATTCTTGGACTTTTAATTTATATAATGTGGTCGCCGAACTATTCCTAAATATTCAATGTAGTCTCTAAACTTTCAATTTATTTAATTTAGTCCCTCAACTTTCCATGACTAAGTCAAATAGATCATTTGGTACTATTCACAAGTTTTCATTATTACACTATTTTTTCATATTTTATAATATATTTTCATTTCAACCACTTTCATAAAATCAACAAAAAAAATGATATCTTTTTATTACCTTTAAACTTTTTTTTATGTTATTCTTGCTTTTGTAAGTCTTAGGTTGCGCATGACAACCATTCTGTGCCGGGAACAGATTCTGCTCAGAAATGATTCTTTTTTATTCTGTGCCCGGAAATAATTTCTAAGCATTTAAAGGCGTTTGGTAACTGCACAAAATTTCTATTCTTAGAATAGAAAAAGAATAGAAATGCGTTTGGTAACTACACAAAATTTCATTTTATTAATAATATTTTGAATTTTTTAATATTTCTTTCTTATTTTTCTTTTTTTTTTTTCCTTTTTTTTCTTTCTTTCCTTGGCCATGGCCGGTCGCCGGTGCTGGCAACCGGCCACAGGCTAGGGCCAGCGAGGGCGTCGTGGCCCTCGCAGTCGGCCTCGCCTTGGCTGGGCGAGGCTCGGCCTCGTCCAGATCTGGCCGACCTCGCCGTCACCAACCCAGGCGACGACGAGGTCAAGCGTTGCCCAGCCAAGGCGAGGCCGACCTCGCCCAGATCTGGCGAGGCTCGACCTCGCCGTTGCCTGGGTTGGCAACGGCGAGGTCGGCCTCGCCAGATCTGGGCAAGGCCTCACCATCGTGGCCGCGAGCCGCCCTCGCCGACCACCGGTGAGGGCCGCGACGCCCTCACCGGTCGCTGGCGGCGGCCGGCAGGTGGCAGGTCGAAGAACAATAACAAACAAAAGAAAAGAAGAAAACCAAGAAGAATCAGTTCTGGAAAAATTGTTCCAGAGTCAAAAAGCTACTTTTTTTTGCTTCTTGATTCTGTTCCAAAACTGATTTTGGGAACAATTTTTTGCAAAATTGTGTCCAGGCACAAAAAATTTAACAAACGGATTTCTGTTCCCAAACTGATTCTGGGAACAAAATTTTTTACTATTTGGCAAGTTGCCAAACGGATACTTAGTGTCTTAAATATCTAGAAATCATACTTTTCCTATCAATTGTAATAGGCCGAAATGTCTGAGAAGAGAGACATACAATGGACATTTTAAAGAAATATAAAAGCTTAGAGAGACCAATATTGGTGCCTTTGAAATGAGTTTATATTGCAATTATCTCACCCATTTTTGTTTCTTCTTCATTTTTTTCTGCGTTTATGTTCTTTCTAGGGTTCAATCAATACACCAGATTACCAAACAAAGAGGGTGAAATTGAAACAAGCGCCGATAGGACACGAGAAGTAGATATATAATGACACACATACTCGGAGTGGCTTCACTGTAAGGATGCAGGGGGAACTGAGATTTCTTGGGTGCAGACTTGTTTGCAAGATGGATGAAGGGCAACGCAGGCTAAACCAGTCCTGATATTAAGTGGACATATCAGCATAACGCCAAAACAAGTGGACACCGTGGTGGAAGAAAGCAGCAGGGAACTGAAAAGTCATGGAAGAGAAAATGTAATGGAGGAAGATGTTTCAATACCTTCAGCTTCGACTTGGAACGACTGGAGGATGAAGGAATTCTTTGCTTAGTTCTTGCAATGGGCCGATGAGAGTGAGAGAGAGGAAAACACATATAATTGCCAAGAATATATAAAGACCAATATGTCTAAAGGGCAAGCATGTGGTTGGCCATTTTTATAATGAGCACTACTGACTCAGGACAAGCTCGCATTAGGTAGTCAATACTTATTGGACTGGCAGCTGTATCCAATTTCACAAGCCATGTGCTGCCAAACAAATCAAGAAACACAATTAACGGCCAACAGGTCAATGTGTTGTTCTCAACAAACCCCACCTCGGCATTGTCCAAACTCTCTCTCTCTCTCTCTCTCTCTCTCTCTCTCTCTCTCTCTCTCTCTCTCTCTCTCTCTCTCTCTCTCTCTCTCTCTCTCATATGCAATACAAATACCCATGTTTATTGTTCATCAACGAACAACTTGCGATTAAGAAATTGATTAGTGGAGAAATATATAATATTAGAGGGATATGATCGGGTCAGAAGTTAACACATGGTTCGGTCCAACTTGTCCAGATATATAATTGCAAATGACCAACGGACACAGACAAACAAAACAAGGCAACAAAAAAACCGCAACTTCATCAACACAACTTGCAATTAAGAAATTGATTAGTAGAGAAATAGTGTGTAATATTAGAAGGAAATGACGAAAAGGGACAAATATCACCAGGTATCTCGATCCCCCTAAAGACATTTTCAACCCAAGCCCGGATGGAATCGATCATTTCAGACTTGTCGATGGCGATGACCTCAACGTCTTCATTTTTCATTTGTTTTGCATTGACCCTACTTGGACATAACAAGTTGTTAACAAAGAGCACTGGGTTAGTGGCCACAGTGGGTTGGAGTGTCATTTGAAGTTTTTACATAATGTGTGGTCGAAATCTAGAAAAGAAAATCATGTATGTATAGTGAAGGGAGAAAATAGATCTTACTTTCCAAATGTCCTAAAAGCCTCACTTACTCTTCCTCGACGGACAAAAATGACCACTAGTATCTTTTCCAGGTAGCCTACATGCCAAAAGGCACTTAATTGTTAAGCTGATTTGGCGTTTTTAGTAAAAAAATCTAAATTAATGATTTTAAACTCACAAAAAAAGGAATTTTATCGAAAAGAAAGGAAAAAACAAAGTAATAGAATCCTGAAGCAAAAGCAATTCTCACATTTTCCTTCTCTTTCGTCCTTTCAATTTGAAGAGAGATTACATACATAAAAACAAAATCACTCTGAAGAAGAGGAACAATTGAAGGGAAAAATATTATGAGTCGGACGTTATAACTAGAATAGAGAGCATTGATCAGATGATTTAAAAGATAAAAAGGAGCTACCTTCAATGCGCTTCGTATTTGAATCTACAAGATTAAAGCAAAAGCAATTCTCACATTTTCCTTCTCTTTCTTCCTTTCAATTTGAAGAGAGATTACACACATAAAAACAAAATCACTCTAAAGAAGAGGAACAATTGAAGGGAAAAATATTATGAGTCAGACGTTATAACTAGAATAGAGAGCATTGATCAGACGATTTAGAAGATAAAAGGGAGCTACCTTCAATGCACTTCGTATTTGAATCTACAAGATTAAAGCAAAAGCAGTTCTCACATTTTCCTTCTCTTTCTTCCTTTCAATTTGAAGAGAGATTACACACATAAAAACAAAATCACTCTGAAGAAGAGGAACAATTGAAGGGAAATATTATGAGTCGGACGTTATAACTAGAATAGAGAGCATTGATCAAACGATTTAGAAGATAAAAAGGAGCTACCTTCAATGCAGTTCGTATTTGAATCTACAAGATTAGGGTTAGGGTGGATGACTCAAGCACTAGCGTGAGCTTGCTGTTATCATCAAGGTTGAAAGATCGGTCGATGGCTGATACGGCTTTCAAGTCAGTTTGTGATTGCAGCCAATCTTTTTCTTTTATGTCGTTTTCTTTTGTGTTTTTTCTTTTGGGCCAAAACGCGGTCAAGCTAATGACCCAAATCAGATCATGATAATACACTTAACTCACGAAATCTATCGATAGAATACCTGATGAGCCCATCTCTCATGAGTTTTCAATAGGCAGAATGCAAATGAAGTACATGACACATGATGACGATTGATTGACTCGAAGCACGCACAGGAATTAAAAATTGACGATCCATCAATCGACAATAACCGTCGCTAAGGAATCGAGAGCATGCAAATCATTCCTACAATAGCGCACCAGTCTAGACGGAACAACATGCTATCGCAACTTGGAGATAGCAAGTTAGCGACAAAGAGTGTTGGGGCCTATGGCCATGGTGGAGTCGAGTCACTTGTAAAGTTATCAAACAACTGGTGGGTATTACCTAATTGGTGATGTTAATATAGTATTTTACGGAGCCTGAACTTTTGTCATTTTTCTCGTCCTAATAAAAAGAAAAGAAAAAGCTAATTTTTCCTCATCAAATATTTATTTGTTAAAAGACATGCATTACTTTAATTTTTAAAGACATATTAATTTACATGAATGACTGCAAATCACCAAATTTATGTACATCGGGACTTACCAAATACTTTTGGAAAATGTTTTTGTAGGAAGAGAAATAGGAAAATTCATGTTTATGGTTCCTAAAAATTGAACAAGTCCACAATGTATCTATTGAGAGTCAAACATGGATAAAAATCTTAATTTCTCGAAACACTCTGAAAGTATATGCAATACCGGCACTCGTTAGGTTGGAGAAGCGTTTCATCCAAAAAGGAGTTATGAAGCGTAAGTAAGTGAAAAAATCACAATATCTTTGCAATTGAAACTAGTACGTAGGCAAATTGGATAGCATAAGTAGACTTTCAAACCAATTATTGCAAAGGTCAAGCTTCAGCAATTGATAGAAATATCGAGTCAGATGCAACTAAGAACTTCGATGATTGGCCAAATTAATTAGAATTGTTTGCATTTATCAAAGATGCACAATGTGCAATTCACGTAGAAACCCGTTCCTTAAAATGCATTGAATATTAGAAACCTACCATTCCGTTTTGTCCACACTTATTGTTGGAAAACACTTGCAAGGGTGGAGATTCTAAAAAGGTCAATGCACTTGGACAAAAAACAAGAAGGTTTATATGCATGTGCATCCTTGATTCACTGCAAATATAAAATCACTTTTATGGTGAATATTAAAGAACAGTCCCCACTGATGATTGGATCAACAGTTGGTTGGCCTTTTCTATAGTGAACAATACTTTTTGACTTGAGCAAAGTTGCTACAGGGCAAGTGTGCATTAGGGAGTCAAAACTGTTCCTAGATCAAATACTAAGCCCGAATTTTTGGACTGTCAGCTAATAAAGAAACACAATTAGAAGCCAGCAGGACAATATGATGTTCTTAACAAACCATACCTCGGTATTGTCCAAACTCTCTCTCTCTCTCTCTCTCTCTCTCTCTCTCTCTCTTCATGCAAGGTTCATAATTCATCAAGAAACAACTTGCAATTAAGAAATTGATTAGCTGCTGTCCAACTTGCCCAGATAAACAATTGCAAATCACCATCGGACAGATAGACAAACGGAACAAGGCAACCAAAAATTACAACTTTATCAGCACAATTGCAATTAAGAAATTGATTGGTTGAGAAATAGTTTATAACATCCGTCGGAAACGATGAAGAGGACAGACATGTGACATGCTTCTTTTTCTTTTTCATTTTTTTTTCCATTAACCATGCTATTGGATCTCGTAGGAGGGCAAGGGGGAAAATTGTCAAATCAGTCCTAAACCTATTGTACGGCGGCCAATTCAGTCCTAAACCTTTTAATTTTGCCAATTCAGTCCTAAACCTTTCTAATTCTTGCCAATTCAGTCCTTCCGGCCAATTTTGGTCGGCCGGCGCTGACGTGGCCGCCGGCCAACGCTGACGTGGCAATTTTTTATTATTTTTTTAAAAATTTTTAATCTTTTTTTCTTTTTTTTTTCTTTTTTTCTGTTTTTTTTTCTTTTTTCTTCCTCTGGCCGGTCCGGCGACCGGCGGCCGGCCAGAGGGGAGGGCCGGCGCGGTCGACCTCGCCGGCCTCGCCGCTGCTGAGGTGAGGCCGACCTCGCCGTCGCGACCCAGAGACGGCGAGGTCGGCCTCGCCGCCGCCGGGCGAGGCGAGGCCCAACGGCAGGCAAGGCCGACCTCGCCGTCGCCTGGGTCGCGACGGTGAGGTCGAGCCTCGCCCGGATCTGGGCGAGGCTCGACCTTGCCGTCGCCTGGGTAGCGACGGCGAGGTCGAGCCTCGCCCGGATCTCGTGCGAGGCTTGACCTCGCCGTCGCGACCAAGGCGACGACGAGGTCGAACCTCACCCACGCGACGGCGAGGTCGAGCCTCGCCAGATCTGGGCGAGGTTCGACCTCGCCGTCGCCTGGGTCGCAACGGCGAGGTCGAACCTCGCCCAGATCTGGCGAGGCTCGACCTAGCCGTCGCGACCTAGGCGACGGCGAGGTTGGCCTCGCCTCAGCAGCGGCGAAGCCGGCGAGGTCGACCTCGCCGGCCCTCCCCTCTGGCCGGCCGCCGGTCGCCGGTCGAGGTCGACCTCGCCGGGAAGGTCACCGTTCAATCGGAAAAGCCGCGGTTTTGGGCCCTCACGACTAGCTTGTCAGAGGGGTTGGTCGTGAGGGCCCGAAACCACGACTTTTCAAGCCAAACGGTGATCTTCCCGGCGAGGTGAGCACCACCAGATTGAAGAAGGGGTGTCGGTGAATCATTTCATGGCCTCCGTTCGTCTCGAAATTTCCGTTTTAGCCTCCGTTGACGAAGGTAAAAATGCTTCGTAGTCACACAAATCGGCTCGATAAATGTGTGACTACGAAGCATTTTTACTTTCGTCAACGGAGGCTAAAACGGAAATTTCGAGACGAACGAAGGCCATGGAATGATTCACCGACACCTCCTCTTCAAGCTGGTGGTGCTCGCCTCGCCGGGAAGGTCACCGTTCGGCCGGAAAAGCCGCGGTTTCGGGCCCTCACGATCAGCTCGTAAGTGGCACTTAGATGATCATTTTTTTGAAAGTTATGGCACTCAAGTGAGCCAAAAAAAGTTATGGCACTTAAGTGTCCTCCGTACAAAAGTTATGGCACTTGCGCTGTA